GAGGAAGGCGCGGCGTGGGCCGGCTCTGACCCGCTGCTCCCCTGTAGGTGGCGGTGAGCCGGCAGGGCACGGTGGCCGGCTACGGCATGGTGGCCCGGGAGAGCGTGCAGCCCGGGGAGCTGCTGTTCGCGGTGCCGCGGGCCGCGCTCCTGTCGCAGCACACCTGCGCGATCAGCGGCCTGCTGGAGCGAGGTGGGCATGCGGCCGGGGTGGGGTCCCGAGGCGGGCCCGCGGGCCGCGCCGAGGCTCTCACCCTTGTTTCCCGCAGAGCGAGACCAACTGCAGAGCCAGTCGGGCTGGGTGCCGCTGCTCCTGGCGCTGCTCCACGAGCTGCAGGCCCCGGCCTCACCCTGGAGGCCCTACTTTGCGCTCTGGCCGGAGCTGGGCCGCTTGGAGCACCCTATGTTCTGGTGAGAGCGCGCGCTGCAGCCTGGCCCCCGCCGCGCTGGCCCGGGGACAGGGCCGCCTCCCAGCACTAGTCCCAGCAGGGTGTGTGAAGGGAACGTGGGGTTTCACTGCAGGCCCGAGGAGCAGCGCCGGCGGCTGCTGCAGGGGACAGGGGTACCTGAGGCCGTGGAGAAGGATCTGGCCAACATCCGCAGCGAGTACTATGCCATCGTGCTGCCCTTCATGGAAGCCCACCCCGACCTTTTCAGCCCCGGGGTCCGCTCCCTGGAACTCTACCACCAGCTCGTGGCTCTCGTGATGGCCTATAGGTCAGTGAACAGCCCCGAAGGACCCTTTTCTTTAGAATTGTTGAGAGACGAGAGGGGAAAAGAACCGTGAACCCCACCCCCAGCCTCACTCCACACTGGGCTTTAGCCAAGTTTTCTCTGGCAGCTTTCAGGAACCATTGGAGGAAGATGAAGAAAAGGAGCCAAACCCCCCTTTGATGGTGCCTGCTGCAGACATACTAAACCACTTATGCAAGCACAATGCCAATCTAGAATACTCTCCAGTGAGTGGGCCCCTCCCATGGCGTGTTATGTGCGCTGATTGGGCACGACCCAAACCAGCGCCTGTCATTTATGCCTGCCTGGCAGTTGGTCTAAATGGGCTCCTTTCTTCGTCCTGAGGAGTAGGTGAAGTTAGCTCCTCCTATATGTGTTCATGTGCATATTCCAGTGAAACAGTTTGTGCACAGAACATCTCAGAGTTGTCGTTAACCCTCTGATGAACGTGACTACCATCATTTATTTGATGCTGGAGGTTGGTGGTTCTGCCCAGTGCCAGGGAACCAATGTGGGCAGCAGGTCAGTGTAAGATAACAGTCCTGACTATATCAATTCTGCTTACCATGTGGGAAGTTACTATTGGTGGGTATATGTCAGTCCCACCTCCCACCGCTGAACTACACCTGCTGGAGGGTCTTCTTAAGAGGGGAGTGATCCTGGGGCTGGTCTGGGAAGGGGCTGGCCCCAGCTTCTCCCTTCCACTCCAGGATTGTCTTCGGATGGTGGCTACTCAGCCCATTCCTAAAGGCCATGAGATTTTCAACACTTACGGGCAAATGGCTAACTGGCAGCTGATTCATATGTATGGTTTTGTTGAACCATACCCTGACAACACGGATGACACAGCTGACATTCAGATGGTGACAGTTCGTGAGGCAGCATTACAGGGTGAGTATCTGACTCAATCTTGGACACGCGATGTGCCTCTATCCCTGCCCCAGGTGCTTTGCGTAGACTAGGGAGTAGACTAAAAAGTGAACTCTTTGACACACCGAGGGGCTTCACACTATTTTCTATCTACAGGGACGAAAGTTGAAGCTGAAAGGCTCCTGCTGTATGAACGCTGGGATTACTTATGCAAGTTGGAGATGGTAGGGGAAGAGGGAGCCTTTGTGATTGGGAGGGAAGAGGTGCTGACTGAAGAGGAATTGACCACCACACTCAAGGTAGAGGGCCCCAAAGAACCATTTAATGCTGAAAGCAGCCAACATATCTGGAGCTAAAGAGCCAGAGATGGAGGGAATAGGATCCCTGAGTGATTCAAGGGCCCCATGGTTGCTCCTAGGTGTTGTGCATGTCTGCCAAGGAGTTCAGAGAGTGCAGAGACCAGGATGGACCGGGAGATGATACAAGGGAAGAGGACAGCCTGACCATCACAAACATCCCCAGGCTCAGAGGATCATGGAGAAAGCTGCTTCGGGACAGTGTTCTGTTGACCCTGCAAAACTATGCCACAGATTTAAAAACTGAGCAAGATTTACTCAGTAATAAGGAGATCTACACCAAACTCAGCTGGAGGGAGCAACAGGCTTTACAGGTTCGATATGGTCAGAAGATGATCTTACACCAGCTGTTGGAACTGACAGCTTAAGCTAAGCGGGTTCCCTGAAGGAACATCCATCCACGAGAAGGACTTTATTCTAAGCTGATAGTCACTGATGCTTGAAGAGGAGGAAAATTTGGATTTTTTACTTTTTTCTTATTAAACACCAAAAGGAAAAAGAGCAAAGGCGTGCTAGGATGAACTCTGAGGTAAGGGGACATGTTTAGGGATTAGGAACAGCAGACTTGGGAATCACTGCTGTGACCAAGACCAGCACACTTTTTTTTTTCCAGTTATTGCCATTTAAATTTTTTTTAAACCAACACACATTATAGCTGTTTTGTTCTCAAGGTTAGCAGAAATGTGACTGATAGTAAAGTCTTGCAGTCTTGTGTTTAACAACGCAGACTGTTTCCTGTTAGAGGATTTAATAAGCTATGTCACTGGCACTCAGCCATTTGTTACAAATTCCTCAGCAGTCTGAAGTTTGCTCTCGATGGCACAGCTCACCCTCAGGGAAGAAACCATAAGACCAATGACATTTAAGCCCACTCCATGTAAGATTTTCTGTTATTTAATCTTGGTCCTTTTTGTTCTCTCTGGCCATAAAACTTGACGGCCATTAAAAGTGTAAGGTGTAAGGGGGATAAGTTTTATACATATACTTATTCCTTTCTTTTAATAAAGGGCATTAATTGTTTAAACACAGAAACCTGCTTTAACAACTTTCTACTGTTGAAAATGAACAGGAAGAAACACTAAAAAAAACCCACTTTCTTGCTTGTTTGAACATGCCAAACATGTTCTAAATTAGGGGGCAAAATCTACCTTTCAGCAAGAAGCTAGTGGTTGCCAAAGGCCCCGGGCTTTGGAAGGGTGGGCTGTCCACTTCCTCCTGTCAGCACTGGCTGCTGCTCCTGAGAAAAGGCACAGTGGACTCGCACTTAGGTCATGACTTTAATGTTTGCATTGACTACAGTATGCATACACATACAGGAAGTAGAGGAGCTAAAGCCCAGGAACTAGGAAGGCTACAAAGTACAACACTGGACCAATACATTTACAGAACACTTAAAATCCTTACAAAAGGGGCTATATTGGTCCTTTTGACTTTTTTGTTGTTCAACTTAGCCTGGGATAAAGGGCGAGGGAAATTCATACTATTGGTTCCCTTTCCTCAGTTTACAACTATCAGGAGAGATGGGAGAGCTTTAGGCCTGGTCTTGTTTCCCTTTACAAAAAGAGCATCTTCTTCAGTAGAAATAAGAAAATGACGCTCTCCAGCAGTCAGCTTTCAATTTAGGAAAGGGACAGAGCAAAACCCTGTGGCATCATTTGGGAGCTGTTCCCTGGCATACTAAATTCTGTCACATCATTTTTTAACAACTTTGTGATTTTCAAGGTCCCCTGTCCACATTAAAAATTAAGTTCCATAATACTTAAACTGGTTTTTTTGCTACTGCTTTGGGACACCAGGAATGTCAGGAAGACGTGGGAGCTATGTCCCTGGGCAGGTACTGGTTTGTATATATGCCTTGGATACATTTTGCACAAACCCAAGAAGTTCCAGACAAAAGTTTTCTCTGTCATATATTTACACAAGTTCAAAATGATATTCACAGCATTTTCTAAATTTTGGCCAAGAGTCAAAAAAAATGCATTTAAACTTTGGAACGTGCCCACATAGACAGGAAGCTGACCCAAACAGTAATTGGGGCAGATACCCGAGAACCAAAGGGCTGGGAAAGTCAGGAAGAGCTGAAAGGGTTCCTCAGCCAGTTTATAAACTTGGTGCTGTGGGACATCCAGGCTGAAACATTTACAACAGAAATGCAGTTCTGTCTAACTGGCACCTGTCCCTTCCATTACTTGCTGAGCCTGCTTCTGTCCCATGCAGCACTGTGCCACGGACTGGAATAACCTGAAGAAGGGAGAGAGTTACAAGTTTATGAGAAAACTTCAGGCCTGACATTACTTTGTGTCTCATTAGCTCTGGCAACTAACTACTGCCTTCTTCACCACCCACCCAGGCTGAAGCCATCAAATGAGTCTCATTTTCCTATCTCATTCTTAGACAATTAAAATTTTACTTTTAACTTACTTTTCAATTTCTGGGGCACAGTGTACAAACTCATGGTTCCAGAACTTAAACGCTGGATTTTTAATCAGCTCAATGAAGGTAATAAGTAGACCCCATGGATGTGGCCTATTTACAATCAACCGTTCCAAGAGAACCCTAGAGAAGGGGAGAGTAAGTTAGTTAACACACTGAGAAACACAATTCAGGACCACTGCTCCATTACTTTCCCTTTCCCCCAACTCTTCTCCCTGACTATTAAACTACATGCAAAAGTTGCAAGCTTTACTAAAGACAAGTAGGTTAATCTCTATACAGCGTGGTTAGTGCAGGTGGATTCTGGAATTAGAAAACCTGGGTTTGAATCTCACCCATTCCCATTACTGAGCCTAAAAGAGTAAGTTAAGGTGAAGTAAGGACAGTATCAGATTACATGGTGCAAAAAAGTAATCACTTAAAGAATGTATTCAATCAAAAGAAATAAACATTCTAATCCTGAATGCAATTAGTATTGGCTTAAATATTAGTATCTTTTACCTGTGTTTCTAAATTTACCAAAAAAATAATAAAGCACAAGAACACAGTTTTAAGTACAAGGGAGCTTACTTCAGCTTTATAAATCACACGATAGAACATTATCACTAGTTAATTTTTGGTACAAAAATCTAAGGAATACTGTTATCTAATACCCACAAACTACCATTAGGTAAAGAGGCAAGTTTAAAAAGTCTGGCCCAGTTTTTAAAGTATACGTATATACCTCTCTCACTACAATCTGCCCATCTCACAATCTCCAGAACTATACATAGTCTAAGCAAAAGAGATTCCTAACTATTGTCAGGAACACCCCAGTATGATCCTACGAACCAGGCTCAATGAACATCGTGTTCAATGCACAGGAGACAAACACAGAGAATTCATAATAAAGGGGAAGAGGCACAACTTAGAAGCATCTGAAAAACAGGTTTCTCCCTTACCTTGTGATCTGTTCTTGGATAGCTTCAGTGTTGGCCTCGGCAAAAAGGTACAGCATGGTGCAGCTGAAGTAGTGAGTGTGGCTATTTGGGTACCGCAGCTGATTTGCAATGGCATTTAAGAAGAGATACCGACCTAGAAATCAAGAAAACAGCTTAGTGAGGACTTGCTCTGTAAGACCAAGATAAGACAACAAATCATTCTGACTGGCTAGGATTTGGATTTCTGCTGTTACAAGCTTTCAAATTATTCTGAGGTCCCCAAGAGTTTTTCATTTCTGTGGGTTTTCAGTATTTCCACATTAAAAAAGTATTTTCCAAAAAAACTTAAGTGAAGTGTGTCGCTGTTTTCACATTTCACTAATCTCTTTAATGTCGCTTAATACAAGACAGCTGGATTCTCATTTCTGTCCATGTCCAATCTGTTCCAGTATTACATTTCATGTAGCTTCTGGAAAACAACTGTCTGCTCATTACAAAATGAGAGCTAAAAAACAACAAACACAAAAAGCCAAGATATTATGAAAATAGTTCTGAACTCCCACTGAGGGTTCTCAGACCACTTTGAGAACCACTAGTTTAAACTATATTGGAATAAGTATTAACTGGGTTTGGTTGTCTTGCTCTGCTTGATATTACTCGTGTTTGTAGGGCTATCACAGTGAGCTTTAACGTGTCCCTAAAGGCTACCCTCTATTTTTTGCTAGGCCTTCAACATAATGACACTCAATTCTGTTAAATTTTGATTTTAAGCTGACTCAAATCCCTTCTACAAATAGGCCAGCAGTATGTACATACTGAAGGTTGGCGTCTCAAAAATTCATAGCAGTTAAAAGTAGGCAGGCACCTGGCCAGCACTTACTAGGGTCTATATTACATAAGAATATAGAAAAACAAAAGAAAATGCAGTTCAACCAGGCAAGATGAAACATACAGTAGGAATTATACTGTGAGCTTTTTGCAGAGCAAGTCAAGTCCCATTCATTACAGTTTATACACCTAATATTAACATGCTGCCTGCCAAATAGGCACCAGTAAGTTCTGGGGAAAAGGCAGGCTAACAAAAACAATGTAACGTAAGCCTATTTTTGAGAGGCTAATAAAAGGAATGTTTCTTTTTCACACTAAAAAATACTGCAGTCACATGTGGTAAGGATTCTGAATGATTCTTTCCTTTATACTTTTCTGCACTGAGCGAATACTGTCCAATTAAAAATAAAAGAACCAGGCAGGCCCATAAACACTGACAGAACATTCTTTCTCCAATGTATTTATGACTGGGCTATGGCTTAAGGTACAGAGAACTGGACTCTGAGAACTGGCTGGCTTTGCTCACCTTCAGTGTCCAAGTCTACAGCCAGGTTCTGGAATATGTCCATGTGAGCCGAGTGGGTGATGGTGCTCATTGAGGGTGTGCTGCCCTTGTTGTGAATGTGTGCAATGGCCTGAGTCCCGACATAGAGCACCAGTGCATTGATGAGCTGAAGGTTGTAGCGATTGCCAGGCTCATTGGACACCTAAAATGAACAAAACAAAGCTCCTGAATTATTTCTCAGAGGGCTGATCTGGGCATTAGTATCTAAACCCTTTTTATGCCTTCATAGAAAAGCTGAACTGCTTTCAACATTCTTTGTAATTTAAATTTTAGATAAATTTCCTTGAGTTTGTTGAGGTCATTTAACAAACAGCTGCCCACAGGTGGTGGCTGTGTCAACAACCACCAACATTTCCCTTGGGAAACCAAAGCTTTAACAGGTACCAACATAAAAGTAAAGTTTATAAAGTCAATATGCACTATCTCAATTATAGAAAATATCTGGAGAGGGGAAATGTGGTTTCTCCTTGGTGTAGAAAGATAATACAGCTTGAAATCATTTTCTATACAGCAAACTAAACCATTTCTTTAGAGAACTCTTAAGAGTACTGGCCAGGAATAGTTACTAGCAGTCTATTCTTACAGAAAATCAGTCCATTTCATTCCCCGGTTGCCTCTTCCAAGGTTACAGCTTTGTGTCGCTGATAAGGTGAACTAGTAAAATGTATAACCTAGTTAATCTCACCCAACCATTAGAAATGACTTGGGT